AAAAATGCCACAGCATGAATTGTCAGCTACCGCGCTGAGCGACGACGGCTCATCCACGGAAAGCGAATGCTACGACAAGGAACTCCTCGAGTTGGCAGCAAGCGTCCACGACGAGAACCACGACCACAACCTGACGCCAGATTTAACCACTGGCGTGAAAGTGGAACCAGTCGATGTCTGCCCACCAGTCAAATCGGAAAACGCCACAGCGACTGATGAGGCCAAACCGAAGGCAAAAGCGACCTACAACAAGTGCAATCGATGCCGACGCAAACTGCCAATTATCAATGAGAAGGATCAGACGGCGGTGCAAGAAGGGAAAGCAAAAACTAAACGCTGTGTCTGCTGCTGCGAGAGTTTTCCGCTAAGTAAATTCAGTATGGCGAATCGCAGCTCGACACGGGCGATTCCAAGATGTCGCTCTTGCAGCCAAGCGCCCTCAAACATATTGCAAAAACTCAGAGAGATTCCGGAATATGTGGAGGCTGTTGCTGCTGAGAAGCAAATGATCAAGGAAGAGAGAAGCAAAAATCAAACTAAATTGCCACCGTTCGAACGCAAGACAATGAAGCAGCGATATCAGGAACAATTTCAACTGGTAGGAGGCAAAACGGCGAGAGAGCGACGACTAGCTCATCGTGAGGAAGAGAAGAAGAAGCGTCTGGCTAATTTCCAACGCAAACGACGAGAAAACAAGACAAAATAGGTTAACCTCGGTTATTTAGGTGTGTCGCGCTTTTGATCGCAAGTTAAATCTTCGAAGTACGCAGTGTTCTGGCGGCACATCAAGTTTTATGGTGGTTGTGGGTTCTTTTTTGCTAGTATACTAAGTGCTCATTTAATGAATCATAGTTCACACAGTTGAAACATTTTCTTGGAGTGCAGGGTTCATTTACATCTTATCCTACAGCCCTGCGATTCGAGCAAATTCCACTACAAAGTGGCAAAGTGGGCGACGTGAAAGTGACGAGATGAAAAAAAAATGACGAAAATTATGACATGTAAATTACCGATTTACGGAGTGAATGCTTTGGCAAAGGAAAGGATAGTGGGCGAGTATCGACGATTAGATTTGCCAAAGAAGCATGCGCAGCAGATAGGAATCGATCTTGGATCATTCGCAACACTAGTCATGCTTAATCCGCTTGGTTCTCTTGAGCACATTGGAGTCCTGAAATCCCTTGGCACTCGCAAACCGTTCTCCTGGAGTTTTTGTACAAACTTGTGAGCAAGCAGGTCGCCATTAATCTTTTCTTGATCAAACAACTCAGTTCGCCACGACATGTTAACAATGATAACCCTTTCCCCACCGCTTGCTCCTTTTCAGTATTGCCAGTACGATCACCCTCGTCGTAGGGGATTCTTTCAAAGATTCCATCGATGTTATTCGCCTCATTGTGGTGTCTCTGTAGAGAACTCTGTGCTTAGAAATTGGTACCAGCAGCTGGAAGGGCAGTGCAACCGAAGAAAAGAATGGTAACAGCAGCAGAAACAACGTGTGGCAATCATTCTAAGGAATCTACTCCTGTGATTAGTTATACGTCGATAGTTATGGTGTATTTAAAACGTGTATGTCGCCATCTTAACTACGACTATCATTTTGGTAATCGTGACCTTTCCCCTTGCGATTACTGTCCAGCTACTTTATCACTTGGGGCAATAGGTAAATACACGAAGCCGGCTCTTTAATAGTTTGCTGCTGTTATACCACAATGCAAGATCACTTTATTGCTGCTCTCTGCACTCATTTTCAATTTCTCTCCTGCACAGCGTTCCCATTCACAAAGTCCAAAAATTTCGATGCGCCTCAGTCTCGTGCTGCTATCAGTTGTAGTCGTGCTTCTTTCAAGTAGCCGGTGTGACGCGAAGAGTCTGCGCCAAGACTCCCCCTACAAGACCAAGGAATCGGCTGAAAATGAAGAAAGGAGATTCATCTTTTCGAACAAGATTAACCCCGAAGCGGTGCCGATCAAGTCATCGAAGTGGAATAATGCTCTCACCAAGGTGCTTAAATCCATTCTTCCGCATAAAGAAGGCATATTGGTGCACAAGGGGAACGACCAGTGGAGGTTCGTACCCTATTAGGAGATCGATCTCATGGAGCTCCTAGAAGGTGCCAAAATGCCAACAAAGAGCACCGCAAGACAGTCAACTCGCAAAATCATGCGGTTTGATACTTGAGTACATGTATTCCAGTTGATCGATGCCACTTACTTCTTAGATTCGTTAGCAACTTACTTGCGAAGTTGTCACAGCAAAGCTCAGACTCGAAAGGACACGCGTACAGCTCTACCTGTGCACTGATAAAAAATAATTGGGTCTGCACTTGTTATTTTTTTTTCTTTTATCTTTTTTTTGTGGGGGGAGGGGGGAGCTCGGCATCAGTGAACGAGCCTTGGACAGCGGCCAGGATGTAGTATTTACTAGTACTTACTTGTGTATGCTGCATGTAATAAAACTGGTGGTGAGGTGTTTGGAAATATTGGTTGAGTATATGCTTCAACGAAAGAGTTGTTTTTGAACCGATGTAGCCATGCTCTACAACTGTCGTCTAGATTTTTGTCCAACCACAGCTTGTCTTCATGTATCCCTTTTATTTCCACCCAATCACAATTCATTTCTCAGCAATGTTGGACCCCAAGAAGTCGCTGGCGATCGATGCGCCGCCTATTGTGCCGTACGACGATGGCTTCTCCACCGACAGCGAGGACTACACGGAGCAAGAAGCCACATCACACGAATCTCCAGTGTCTTCTTCCTCTACGCCCACTTCGATTTTAACCAAAAGAGCAGTCGTCACCGAGAACCAGTCAAATATCCAAAGGCAACAAATTCGAGACGAAACACAAACAAAAGTCATCAGACAACCCTCGAAGGACAAGCCTCAGTCTGCTACAACCACAACACGAAAGCCCGAGGAAAATGCTTCAACACGTGCAGCAGATTACGTTAAACCACCCGCTAATGGCCATTTAAAGCCTCAAGAAGTAGTCCAAACCATTGCTCCCACGCCTAATGGCAAGAAAGATGAAGAATATTGCAGAAATTGCAAGGGATATCTGACGCCATTGGCTGAAAGACTCAAAGTGATGAAGAGAGCCGCATTACAGCAGTCTGGGAACATTCCTCCTCCCTCAAGACAGTGTTTCTGCTGCCATATCACGTACCCATTTGTGGCTCTGACCGATGAGAGCAGAAATCAAGCGTGTACACAGCCACGTTGTTACATGTGCAACTGGGCAGTCCGAGCTGCTCAAAAGAGCTCAAATGTCGGTGTAAAGAGAGCTGTGGACGGAGTTGAGAAAGGTACTCGAGAGAATGGCAACACAGAAATCTCCATAATGGCTACAACCAGCGAACCGAAAAATTCTACCGCACCAGACAATTATTGCAAAAGTTGCAAAGGAAAATTACCCTTGCGGGCCGAAAGATTGAAACTTATGCCGACAGCTGAACACCCGACTAGACAGTGTACTTGCTGCATCATTACGCTGCCACTATCGTCGCTCACTGAAAAAAGCAGAAATGTCAAGTTTGCTAAGCCTGTTTGCAACACATGCGATGCAGCTAGAAGCCTGGCATCTACGACGGAAGACAAAACTCCAATACCTACAAATTCGACCCAACCGAATCCCGAGAAAACGCCGGAAGTCATTGTGATCGATGAAGAGGACGAAGAAGGGGAAGTATTGGAACAAGAAAGCTGCAAATGTTGCGGAGGCACGTTGATCCCTCCAGTGAAGAGAGTACAAATGATGAAGGATGCAGCGAAGAAATTGGGAGGAAAGAAACCTCCGCCTTCGAGACAATGCGCCTGTTGTCGCATAACTTACCCGTCAGAGGCATTGACCAAGAAGAGCAGGAAAATGACACGTGTTGTACCTATTTGCCATAGTTGTTGCCAGGCTGGCGGACCACCTATTTACGAAATGCTCTGCACGAGTGACGAGTTTATTGAAGCTTTTCAAGTGGAGGACCCTGCTGCTGCTCGACAGTTCTTAAAAAGGAAAGAAAACGGAAAACTCGCGAAGGCAGTAGAAGCTCAGAGAAAACGGATGAAGAAGATGAATAACCCGCCAAAGGCGTTGAAGAAAGAAGTTCCAAGCGTACAACCGACGAGCAAGCAATCGCCCAAGGCTGTTGCATCACATCCAATCAACAGACCGCAAAAGATAACGGGCCGACTATTTGGCGGAGGACCTCGCTACCACCTGATGCCAATGATGGCGAGAAAGAGTATGCCGGCCGCTCGATTAATTATCGGAAGACCAGCAAATAAAACGTATGCAGCTTTAGATACAGAAGCGTATGCAGAGGCAGAAGCTAACGAAGGATCACCAGGTTTGGAGCCACTGGGATCGCCTACAGGCAGACTGGCGGTGAGGAAAAGCATGCCGGCACCTCGGTTAACCATTGGGGAACCAGTGAACAGTAGTGGATTCCCACAGACGAGAACTCAAGTGGAACAGAACGGGGAGCAGCATTTAGACCAGACAGCGCCACCCGGGCTACCGAGACCGCGGACGGCGCAGTGGCTTCGTCAATTTGAACTTGTTGATGGGAACACTGCTCGAGAACGACGACTGGAGGTGCGAAATGAATCCAAGGAAGAACAAGCTGACAAGAAGAGGCAGCGAACAGAGTGATAGAGCTGTGTTATGGATCAGCATAAAACTATAATTATTTTTATTTTTTTGAAAAGATTATAGTT